AAAAATTATCCACAAACCCTAATCGATTTTCCCTCTCTTTCAAGTTCTAATTGGGGGTAAAACCTAGAGTTTGAAGAACCAAGGGAAGGGCTGAGTTATCCAACAAGTAAGGTGAGTTTACTGCTCTGTTTCATACATTTATTCTTCAGTGAATTCATGGTAATTCGTTCTATACATGTAAGAACTCACGGGACGGTGATCGGAAGCCGTGAATTCGAGTTATTCACTTGTAGCGGACTGTTTTGTGGACTGTTTTGTGTTGCTCTTGGGCTGCGTGTTTTACTACTTTTTTGTGGTGTTTTGGATGAGGAAGGGTGTGGAGAAACACCATATAGATGTAGGGTTGTGGGCTGGTAGTTCTTCGTAACATTTCCGGGCCGTTTGACACGACTACGGTGGCCGTCGTATGTATGAAGTGATTAGGTTGTGCGTGGACTATTTTGGGAGGCTCAATATGATTATTATTGATGTTGTTTGGGCTGTTTGGTGATTGTTTGGAATTGTGTGAAGTCATATATATAGGGGAGGTGCTGTCCGTTTCATCGTAAAATAGGTTGTGGTCGATACATAATAGTTATGACGCTTGAATGATAACTATAGTATCATTTCTCTTATTGTAGACTAAGGAGTCATGGAAATTGCATAGCTTGTGATTGGGGCAGTATATACAAGGTATGTGAGGCTATCCCTTTCCTTCTTTTGCACGACTCCGATTGTACATAATGTAATGAACGAGCTTCCAAAGATACTCTACTCTTAGAAGCTAGCAGTACTTACATTGTTTCCCCTCTTATGGAACAATTGATGTTGATGTTTCTTCTCTTATTCTTATGTTATCAATGTTATTGGTACTTCCTGATACTTATAAGGTTCATGGTGAAGAGTTAGTCCTAATAACTTTTACACAGGATACCGACCTTACGTCACTCCGAAAGGTTTAGAACGTGATTCCATGAGTCCAGCATGCATTATATACGTATCTACTTTACTCTACCGAGCCGCGCTATAGTCGGCCGGGTATGGCACCTATTGTGCAACCACTGATCAGTTGGGTTTTACCGAGCTCCACGTGACCGGGTACAGTTCTACCGAGCCTTATGATGGCCGGGTACGTTTTTACCGAGTCCTCTTTGAGGCCGGGTATGATATGATGATGATGATGCCCACAGAGGCGTATGTTTTTAAAAGTTTATGTATATATATGTATTATGCATTTCATGTCAGTAGCCCCCAGAGGCACTCAGATGTTACAGGTTGTATCTCCTCTATCTCTCTTTACGTTACTGATCTTGTTTATGCTTTCTTGCCTTACATACTCGGTACTTTATTCGTACTGACGTCCCTTTTGCCTGGGGACGCTGCGTTTCATGCCCGCAGGTCCCGATAGACAGGTTGACATTCCTCCTAGTAGGCTATCAGCTCAGCGAAGGTGTTGGTGTACTCCACTTGCTCCGGAGTTGCCTATTTGGTCAGTATGCTTTGGATATGTATTGATTGGTATGGCGGGGCCCTGTCCCGACCTTTATGATTTTATGTACTCTTAGAGGCTTGTAGACAGATGTCAGGTGTATGGATACTTGTATGGCCTTGTCGGCCTATCTCTTGAGTTTACAAATGGTCATGTCGGCCTTATAGGCCCGTATGTCACATGTATAAGTTTGTATATCATGTTCGGTCATCATATGTTGAGTATTCCCTTATGTCTTATTATTGTTATCTCATGACATGTTTTCTATCTCATTTACCCTTGATAGTATGATAAGAAAGATATGTTACGTTGGTACTCGGTTGAGTAAGGCACCGGGTGCCCGTCGCGGCCCTTCGGTTTGGGTCGTGACACAATCTTAGATCGGTGTTTTGACAATTCCGGTAGGTTTGTATGATGTGTTTGGACTTGTACGCATGTTTGGTTGGGGTCCGGGACCTGAGCGCATTTTGGCGCATTATGTGAAAGATTTTGAAATGAGTTTTTCAAGTTGAAATCTTGAGTTTTGATGATCGATTCATGTTATTTGATGTTATTTTGATGATTTGACGTAGCGGGCAAGTTTATATGATGTTATTATACTTGTGTGCATGTACGGTTTGGAGACTGAGGGGCTCAGGTGAGTTTCAAATTGGTTTCAGACCATTTTTGGACTTAGAGAACTACTGTTTTTTTGCTTCTGGTGTCCAGTGCTTTGCGATCGCAAAATATTACAAAAAATTAAAATATGGGAGAAAAGCGTAATATTACAAACCACACGGAAGATTACTGTTATGAATCCAAACCTAAGGGATATCTCTAAAGTTATTTTTTTGAATCAATGTGATGTGAGACATGTCATACTTTTCTATAAGAGAATATTAATAAGGGTGAAATAAAAGTAAGTAATTAATAATTTACTAAATATAATTTTTTTTTATGCAAACTGAAAAGGAAAGTAAGATACATATATTTTAAAAGGAAAGACCAATATTGCCCCTAAACTATTTGAAGTAGGATAACTTTGCCGGCCATTTTTTTGGTCACAAAAATATCCTTATCATTAATCAAGTAGCTCAAAAATACCTTCGTCACAACCAAGTATATTCTCCGTCTCAATTTATAAGGCGGTGTTTCATTAGACACAGTTTAAGAAAGTTTGAAACACTTTTAATATATGTAGACTAAAACAAATTATAGATATTTGTATTGTTATACATCATCTCATTAAGGATAAAATTGAAAGATTAAAGTGAAATTATTTCAAAATAAGAAAAATGATATCCTTTTTGTAACATACTAAAATGGGAGGTATGACACATAATTTGAAATAGAGGTAGTAGCTCAAATATAGCATTCCCACTAACAAAGGCGGAGCTAGAATTTTAAGCTTATGGGTTCAGAATTCTAAGCATTTCAAGTTACAGGGTTCTAAATTATTAAAGTATAAATAATTAATAAATTATTTTAGACAAATATAAAGTTTGAACCAAAGCTATTGAGTTCGTCGAACCCGTAACCTAAACACTCGCTCCGCCCCTGCCCAATAAACTTTAGCTAGGATGGAAAAGGGCCAATTTGGTCACTAAATACTTGAAATGAGACAATTTTATCCTTCGTCCAAGAAAACTTTTAAATATGATATTTATACAAATTCAATAAATACATGCACATGTCTTCAAACACCCTCTATTACTAAATCTCAGTTAATTAGAATATTTCCTCACCTTGATTTATAACGTAACTATAATAAATTATTATGATTTGGTATAAAAGTCGGGTGCTCATAAAAATTAACCTCATCTATTTCCTACAATTTAGTCAGTATCATCCCAAAATTTTGACCAATGAAATTGAACCTGTAGTCATTTTTAACATGTTATATAAATTATTCTTAACAATTTTAAGGGATTAGGTTTATAAAATATCAAGGTATATTCATTTGTATTCTTGGCCCTCCACGTATCCCCTTCGTTGGCTTGGGGCAGATTTGATAAAAAATATAACGATAGAATTAACGGGAAAGGCTTAAAAATGCCACTCAACTAACATAAATGTCTTATTTATGCTATTCGGTAGGTCGCCTTATTTATGCTACTAACGTTATACTTTTGGCCTATTCATGCCACTAACGTTATACTTTTGGCCTATTTATGCCATTATCGACTAACAGTTCTATTTTCTAATTTTAGATAATAAGAATTAATTTTTCGACCCGACCTTTGCCACGTGTCTTTATATTACTGGTTTTTTTTTACTTGACCCTACATTTCTTTTAACCCTAATTATGTATAATTAATCATGCCCAACCCGATAAAATTCACCATCTTTTAACCCAACCACTAATTCCTTGTCATGATTTATTTGAAACCGATGTTGTGTTTATTTCGATTCAGTTTGTAAATCTAAATCTTAGAAGTTCATGATTTGTACTACTAGTTCTTGGGAAAAGTATTAAGGTTCAGTTATTCTATCATTTATTTGTCTAAAAAAATCTCATTAAATTGGATAGTTGTTAAGTGGCTTACCTAACGGGTTGGTTTAGGTGCCATCACGACTAGTTGGATTTTGGGTCGTGACAAGGAATTAGGGTTTGGGTTAAAAGATGGTTAGATTTTATCGGGTTGGGCATTGTTAATTATACATAATCAGGGTTAAAAGAAATGTAGGGCCAAGTAAAGAAGAATCAGTATTATAAAGACATGTGGCAAATGTGGGGTCGAAAAAATAAATCTTATTATTTAAAAGCTAGAAAATTGAACTTTAGCAGACAATGACATAAATAGGACAAAATTATAATATTAGTGGCATGAATATAATGACCTTTTAACGAATGACATAAATATTTTATTTATGTTAGTTGAATGACAGTCAAAAATTCAAAGGAAAGATATATTAGAACCATTTCTCAAGGTAAAGATATAAATATGATATTTTTTTGTTTATTCCTGAGCCAACCTGTGATAATGACTAGCTGAAAATTGTAGACCCGTGGATAACGCCTTAGCCCAGGTCTAAGTAAGACAAGAAGTAAAGGGACCCATGTTATCTCGTGATGTGTGTTGACGCGCTGTTCCTTAGCATTCATTTTATCCTCAAACAAACTCCTTTGTTCTGACACAAGTCCCCCCAAAATAAAATTTTACGCCATGAAGAGAAAGGGCGAGATATTAAAAATAACGTGATATTACGATATATCGCGATAGGAACTTAATGCCGCCGAAAGCGACAGATCAGACCGCCTCATCATATCAAAAAACACACGAAACAAATGCATGGCGGGACGTAACTCAAGCACAATATAAAGTCCATTTAAATTCCCCCTTTCAAATCCGTAAAACTCTACCGTTTCACGCAATGATAAAGCAGTTATAAGCACACTTCCGCCTATCCACGCAACTTATACGACATACGATAGGTGGAATAACATATCAGTGATAGGATCGAGCTCTTATCAGCGATAAGCTCGTTCACCCTTCCCCTAAACCCATCCAACCCCACATTACCATTTCCCTTACAAATAGAGAAACTTCGCTTTTTAACTTTCTCTCTGCTTTATCTTTCTCTCTCGCTCTCTCTCTCTCTCTTCTTGCTTTCGCAGCCTTTGAATTCAAGCTTCTCATAACTGAATAAACCCTAGAAATTCTCGCGAGTCGGTGGTGGCTGTGCTTTTCCATTTCTGGTTTTTAGTTGATTTACTAAAATGTCTTCTCTGAGTAGAGAATTGGTGTTCCTCATACTTCAGTTCTTAGAGGAGGAAAAATTCAAGGACTCTGTTCACAGGTAAACTTTTCTTATATATATATTTTCCTCGAAATTTTACAAATTTTTTTCGCCGGTTTTTAATTTTATTGGAAATTGAAACAGGGATGGAAAAAATTCTGGAGCTAAGTTTTTAAGACTGTTAATTTTTTGAATTTTTAATCATGTTATATGCGTGTTTTCTAGTTTTTACTCTGTTCTGGTGAAGGGAGACACCTAATATAAACAGAAAGAATATACTTTTTTTTGCTCGAAAACAAATGAGAAAAGGTATTATACCTTAATTTTAAAGACTATTCTGGAAATTTATCCCAAAAAGGGAAAAATGAGAGCCAGTTAAATTAGCTAGTTGTACTGCGAAGTTTACCCTATAAGATGTTTGCGCCTTTTTCTCTCTCGCTCTGTTTTCCATTTCTTTAAATGTAATTTAGAAAACATGGACGCTGTGGGGTTAATGTGGTATTTCTCTCGCTTTTATGTTTTTAGGGAATGATGTTACTGAAAACGTTAAGCTCAAAAAAGTTAACTTTATGGGCGAACTAAATTTCGTGTGTTCGGTATGACGGATTTTTTTTTTTTTTGCAAAAAATGATATTTGAAAAATGACTTATTTTTTAGGAAATATCTTCTTAGAATATGTTGTACCATGTCTAGCTGCAGAGTGAAAACTTTTTCCCCAAAAAAACATCTATTAATGATTGTTATTAATGTTAGCAAATCAGATTGTGTTCTGATAAATGTGTTGATCATTAAAAATTAATAATAATATCTAAGTATTGGTTGGAGAACTTATATGAAGGTAAGAGTTCAGATAGTATTGAAGGAATATAACTGCCACCTTGGAAAATACTGACAATCAAACACTAGAAAGTTGTATCAAACACACTCCATTGTAAAAGGAGCTTGAATGTTTCATTTTCCTCCTTGTCATAAATTTATATGTTTGAGATAAGAGCCAAACATGGAATACATTTTTTATTTTACCTTTATTCATAAAAATGCCAAACATTCGTGATGCATGTTTGTTTATGTGCACAATGGATGATTCTTCATGTTGCATTGTTTATTCACACCAAAATGTATCCCCATGTTTACAGGCTTGAACAAGAATCAGGGTTTTTCTTCAATATGAAATACTTTGAGGAGAAAGTCCATGCGGGTGAATGGGACGAAATTGAGAAGTACTTGTCTGGATTTACAAAAGTGGATGACAACCGATACTCCATGAAAATATTTTTTGAAATAAGAAAACAGAAGTATCTTGAAGCTCTTGACCGGTATGTTAGATGACTGCACTGATAGGGTTAATTCTCTGCTTAGGATGGGTATGATTTGGATTTTTTGACCTTTTTGGGTGTAATTCTTTTATTTCAGACAAGACAAGGCAAAGGCAGTGGGGATTCTTGTGAATGATTTGAAGGTGTTCTCTACATTCAACGAGGACCTTTATAAAGAGATCACTCACCTCTTGACACTCAACAATTTCAGGTAGCTGTTTTTCATTTCACTACATAGAAGAATATCCTACGTAGTATGTTGAACGAGAGGCCTCATTTCTGTTTTAAGCGGCTTATAGTAGAATTTGATGAGACGGTGAGCTGTCATCGCTGGGAAATCCTTAGAGTCTTGGGATTGATTACTGTTTTCTCAGGAAATTACAATATTCGTTCAAGGTAGCTTTATAATAATTGAAGTCTATCGCAGAATTTTGATTATCATTAGTACAATAAATTAGAGAATCTCGATTAGTGGAGGTTATTGTAGTAATCTCACCTTTTTGGGGGGCTTCCAACCCGGTGTTCAGTATCTGCTTTGCGACCAGACTAATCTAGATTCGCGCCAGGAAGTTCCATTTTTGGGGTAAAACGCTCCCTACCAAAGACAATTTTATTCCAAGGATCGAACCGATACTTTTGGTTAAGGATGGAGGAGTACTTACCACCCCACCACAACATTTGGTAATCTCACTTTGTTAACTACCCATTATTAAGTCAAAAATGTTGCAAGGAGAGCAAGATAATCCAAAATCCCCACTATGATGGAGGATAAAGGTAGCTCAACTTAGATGCATATCTTTCTTTTCAAACTGAGGATTACGTATTACTGATAGAATCTTATCAAATATTCAAAATGTTTAAATGCTTTCTGTCAATACCTGTGGGTGGGTAAGCATGCCATAGAGCTACGGTTTCTGGCATCACCAGGGAAAGTAATGCATGGAAGCTGTATGATTGGTAATGCCACAATATGGCTCCTTGTTCTAATGTTCTTCCGAGGTCCACCTGTCGAAACTTGTCAGTTCTGCTGGTTTAGGTCAAGAGCTAGTTATATGATCTTGATAGTTATATTGACCTCTGCACAAGCAAGCTAGACAAGATTTTTCCCAGTGATGGACATATTCTGAATTCTGAATCCGACATGTTTCATCTGGTGAGTAACCAAAGTAGGACTTTCAGTTGCGAGCTCCATTACCTCTACAGTGAGACAAATGTCTTGGTGCACTGGAACTACTGTTGGAATTTATCATTACCCTATCATGCACACCTCAATTTACTTACTATATTTGATCAAAATCCCAATTTTTTTAAAAAAGAAGAAACTGAAGCTAAGAAAGAAGAAGCATATTTTGGAGAAAAAAGAAAAAACTTGAAATGGATAAATTACTAAATTCAAGGAACTTAGTGCACCGGGCTGCCCTTTTTGGCAAAACTCATATCAGTATTAAAGGAATAATGGACTCCTAAGTGCAGGAGGCTAAATTCTGCTCTCTCTACTTCCTTAATGGATAATAAATCAGTAAGTATTTTAATCATAACATTAAAAAAGTGTCCTATCTCAGCCCAAGTGCTAAATTTGCTTAGCTTAGTGTAAATGGTTCTTTTCCATTTTTGGCTTTACAGATAAGTTCAATAAATTTCTTATTCCTATGTGGAATTTACTTTTTGTAGGTTAGTATACCATCTCTATTAAAGAAAAAAGTAAAATCCCATAGAAGCTACAGAAGACTCATGACCACCATTCTAACTTTCTTTTGTGAAACAAAAATTTCTTTCCCAGTCAATGTTGAATATATCCGTTTAATTTAGATGGAAAGAGTAACAAATGTAGAGAAAAGTTTGTGTTTCCACATGCATAATCGCTACATTTCTATAATCTAAAGTTTCTAGAATATTACGTTTAGCTTTCCCTCTGAGAAACATGGAAAACAAGTCTTTGAGTTTTTATCTTGTACTAGACATTGCATATTTTGATAAGTTGTTGATTGTTGGTATTTCATCTTAAGCTTATAAGTTTTCAGTCCATGAGGAGTCCAGAATAAATGGTTCATGGAAAAGACTATTTTGATATCTGTAGATTATTTCTTTTTGCTTATGGCTTACTCTTTCCTGAATATCTTTGTTAGTTTGGGTTTATTAAGTTAAGTAGTCTTCTGGTTGACTCGTTGCATTTTTCTTTTTCAGAGAGAATGAGCAGCTTTCCAAGTATGGTGACACCAAGACAGCACGTAGCATAATGTTGATAGAGTTGAAAAAATTGATTGAAGCAAATCCTCTTTTCCGGGAGAAGCTTGTTTTCCCTACATTAAAATCATCAAGATTGCGTACCTTGATCAATCAGAGGTGAAGTTCTTTTTAACCAATTTGTTGGTTGTATAGTATTCGTTTTTAGGTTTCTGTGATTTCTCCATTCTTTTCCTTCATTTTCTTCACCTAACCAAGAAAACAGAGTAATCTTATCTCCCCCTTGACTGCTTGAATGTGTGCTTCCCTGTATAAACTGCATTTAATCTTTATATTAGGTTCACTTCTCTTTTACTCCAGCAGAGGATCAAATCATGCTTGGGTGCTCATTTTGTTGGCATGGGTGCTCTTTGCATTCTCCTAATCTTAGCTTCTTCTTTTTTTATTTTCTTTTAAAAAGAAATTATTTAGTCACTGGTTAGTTTTATTGACATTTTTGAGTTGTAGGCTGCTTCAATTATTAGGTATAATATGGGGAAATAGGTGCCACTCTGGATATGAATGATGTATTTACCTACCACTGCTACTTTATTGAAAAAGGAAGAGACTCATAGAATGGCAGAGGCAAATAGAGCTTTTGCACATTTTCGTTAATCCATGAATAGGATCTATACATCTTGATTGGAAAAGAAACTCTAACTTAGATTCCTATAGTTTTCTTGAGATTCAGCTTGTTGCTGTTCATCTTACCAATTATGCTCGGCCATTGTGTTTTGAGATTTGAAGTTTTATCTGGCACTTTCTGCAGCCTGAACTGGCAGCACCAGCTCTGTAAGAACCCAAGGCCAAACCCAGACATCAAGACCTTGTTTACAGATCATACATGCAATCCTCAGAATGGGGCGCTTGCACCCGCACCTGTTAATCTACCTGCTGCTGCGGTTGCAAAACCTACCGCATATACATCGCTCGGGGTGCATGGGGTATGGTTCTTTTGGTTGCAGAATCTATTTTTATTTGATTATCTTGTTTTTGCTCATCTCACTTGATTGTATCTGCACTATTTTCATCTCTTGCTTGTAGCCATTTCCACCCACGGCAGCAGCTGCAAATGCTAATGTTTTGGCTGGTTGGATGGCAAATGCTGCTGCATCTTCATCTGTTCAAGCAGCTGTTGTGACAGCATCATCACTGCCTGTTCCTCCGAATCAAGGTATGAGTTCTAAATAGAGGTGGTATTAGGAATAGCGTAGTTGTTTATTTCTTGAATGACTACGATTATGTCTTCCCTTTGGCGGCACTTCTGGTAATGCTTTTTAACAGCTTTTAAAGGTTTATAGAATGAATCATTCTTTCGTGATGCCAAAAACCAGAAAGTAAAATGACCTTCTGTTTCTTCTGAATATGTTTGACCTTTTGATATGAAGTAGAGTGGGTCCGAAGTGGGAAAGGAATCGAAGATGTAAGAGGGAAGTGGAGAATACAAATTGAAGGGTGTTATCATAAAGCCTTAGGAGGAAAACATGTGCCGTGAATATTTGTTGGACTTCCAAAATAGATGCTTTTGATGCTTGATTCCTTGTCCTTTCAAAAAAGGAATAAAAGGTCTTGCAAAAGATAATTTTTGAAAGCATAGTGTAAGACGATGGACTGGATGCAATAGCAGTCAAGCAAACAATCAATACAGCTATTAATATTTGGTAAATAAGAGATAATATTTCCAATTTGATTGACTAATATGCTCTTTCGTCTCGATAGTTTCAATTTTGAAGCGCCCAATCACACCTCCTGCGACATTGGGCATGGTTGAGTATCAAAGTGCGGATCACGAGCAATTAATGAAACGTTTACGACCTACACAGTCTGTTGAGGAGGTAATAGTAAATGTTTCTTCAATAAATATTTGCTTTATGTGCTGAAATTTATTCCTCAAATTCTTTGAGTATCATAGTTATTATTCTAGGTTACATATCCTATGGTTCGTCAACAAGCATCTTGGTCCCTTGATGACTTGCCAAGGACAGTAGCTTTTACTCTGCATCAAGGATCCTCAGTTACTAGCATGGATTTTCATCCTTCTCATCATACATTGTTGCTAGGTACAGTAATATTTGAGATATCCATGTATTAGAGCTATACGTCTCCTTGGGCCAATGTCACTTATACCAGCAGTACTAAAAATAATTCATATTTTGTCAAAGATATCGTTTGTTATCTAATTTATGGTGTGTGCTGGAACAGTTGGCTCCAATAGTGGTGAAATAATACTTTGGGAAGTCGGAATGCGGGAAAAGTTGGTCTCGAAGGCATTCAAGATATGGGATATTCAAGCTTGTACATTGACATTTCAGGTCAGTAAATAAGGCATTGTTTAAAGAGGAAAAAACCAGTATTATATCTCTTCATCTACTAGGTTGTTTTTCAGTTTGGTGTGTAGCAGTTACTTAAATGATTCTTAGTTTCTCAACATTTTTAATATTTGAAAAACTGGTCTATGCGCTATTATGTACTCCCTCCTCTTTATTAATTTAAATGACACACTTTCCTTATTAGTCCGTTTAAAAAAGAATGACACATTTTTTTATTTAGAAACAATTTAAGTTAAACTTTTCATTTTACCCACTTTACCTTAATGAGAAGCTTTTATAGCCACACAAATATTATGGCCCCACAAAACTATTGCCCCTTAAGCTTTTAGGACCACATGTTTCAAAAGTCATCTTCTTTTTTCTTAAACTTTGTGCCAAGTCAAACTGCATCGTCTAAATTGAAATGGAGAGAGTAGTAGTTATAAGAATAAGAGTTCGTCACAGACTTTTCTCATATCTCAGAGTTTTGACAGGCTTCTGCTGCCAAAGATGCACCATTTTCTGTAACCCGTGTTGCATGGAGTCCAGATGGGACTTTCGTTGGTATGTGATCCTGGCTGGATCTTGTATCAGTATACGGCTTGGGGTTGTTCCTAAATTTCTTTTGCATTTCAGGAGTTGCATTTTCAAAGCACTTGATCCATCTGTATGCCATTATCGGGAAGCGTGATTTACGGCAGCATTTGGAGGTACATAATTTTTATTTTTAAAATTTTGTTTATATATATAATTCTGAACAGTATGATGTAGTGCACTAAAAAAGTTGTAACTGCAATATGACCTGCTCTCTTGTGTTTGAAGATGGATGCCCATGCTGGGGGTGTGAATGACTTAGCATTTGCTTATAACAAGCAGTTATGTGTAGTAACGTGTGGAGATGATAAGTTGATAAAGGTAATATCCAGATCTTCTTTCTGTCTGCTGGAATCTTATTATCTTCTGTCACTGTGAATTCTTTTTCAGTCACCATGATTCTTTCAGGAACTACTGAATGTAAAATCTGAAACAGGTGTGGGATGTTACTGGAAGAAAGTTGTTTAATTTTGAAGGACATGAAGCTCCTGTATACTCAATATGCCCTCATCAAAAAGAGAATATTCAGGTATATACATGGAAAGGAAATGACATATTTGGAGCAAGCTTATTATCTTTTTTCATTGCTTCAGTAGAAAACAATGTTGCTAACCTCTTCCCTCGGATTTGGAAAAAATTGGGACATGCAGCTTGAAAAAATGAACGATCTGTTTACTTCCTTTTGCTCTACCAAATGTGTTTTGGCTTTTTTCCTTGCTATATGGAGTAGTTTTAAATGGAAATATCATGTTGAAGTCCCTTTCAGTTTAAACTTTGATTTGTCAGCTTGCTACCATTTACGTTCGATCTAGATCCTTTGCTGGAAGAAGTAGCTGAAAATGTTTGCATTCGAAACAGGAAATATAGGCACCAAGCTACCAAGTAACCAAATAAATTCTCTCAGCGGAAACTGATTACTTGCATGTCATTTGTGGCTTATCACTTCTTAAATTTAGCAAAATAAGTAATGGGATTACTCAATTGCTGCCTTGCTGGGATATTCACAGATAGTGAAGTGAAGCATTAGTCAAACATAAAATGTTTAGTTATGACGTTGAACCCGCTTAGAAACTCTACCAGATTTACCCATAGGCCATATATGTGTGAGAAATCCATCGTGGTAGATTTGGAGATTAAACATTATGATCTATACATGTTGCCAGCAATATTGAATGTGCACTTGACCTAATAGGTTATAACTTTGGTTTTAGACTGATATGATGTATGCCGTTATATCTTTGCAACTGTTTATAATGGGAAAGATGTAGCTATTCTTTGTACGTTTCAGACGTGTTTATTGTCTTCGTTTTGTTTGTCGGCATTGCATGCTTTAATAGCATTTTCTGTATGCCTCTATGTGCAGTTCATATTTTCAACTGCTATAGATGGAAAAATAAAAGCTTGGCTGTATGATAATTTGGGATCTAGAGTTGACTATGATGCTCCTGGTCATTGGTGTACAACTATGCTTTACAGTGCTGATGGAAGCAGGTAAGTTTTGTTTCTACGCAATGGTTGTACATTTATAATCTTTATTTATTGTCTATTGTCTTTACAAGTATTCCTATTTCAGAATAATTTTCTCTATCTACTCCTTGATGGTGAATTTTCTTACTTGTAGATTGTTCTCGTGTGGAACTGGCAAAGAAGGAGATTCTTTTCTTGTAGAATGGAATGAAAGTGAAGGAGCCATAAAGAGAACATATACTGGGTTTAGGAAGAAATCAGCTGGTGTTGTGCAGTTTGACACTACTCAAAATCACTTTTTGGCTGTCGGTGAAGATAGTCAAATAAAATTTTGGGACATGGACAACATTAACATTCTTACAAGTACAGATGCTGATGGTGGTCTCCCGGTCAGTGTTTGTGCCAGTCTTCAAGTGCAATTTAAAGCTTCCTCTCTAACCCCCAACCAGGGAAAACAAAGAGAATATAAGAGAAATGAAACCCACAACACCTTCCCCCAGAAAATTAAGAGAAAATTTCCTCTTAAGATAGCTGAAAGTATGGTGTTTTATGTGCAGAGTCTTCCACGCTTGAGATTCAACAAGGAAGGCAATCTTCTTGTTGTTACTACTGCTGACAATGGGATTAAGATTCTTGCAAATGCTGCTGGTATGAGGTCCTTAAGGCCAGTTGAAACCCCACCCTTTGAAGCACTAAGATCTCCCATTGAAGCAGCTGCATTTAAGGTAATAATTGTTTATCTTCTTTTCCAGATAGCCGCAAGAATATTGTTTTATGAGACCAAAGAGATCTTTGTTCTTTTAAGCAGGTGTCAGGTTCTTCTGTTCCAAATGTTGCACCAGTCAGTTGTAAAGTGGAAAGAAGCTCTCCTGTCAGGCCTTCTCCTATGCTTGTATGTCACATATCTAATTTTTTTTTTCTTTCCAGTTTCTAATTATATACTTATCTTAGAAATAATTGTACAAATGACAGTACTATGATCTGTTACAAAAAGCCAAAGTCACTTGCATACACCATATTATAATTTGGAAATCTTGTCATTTTATGTCTTTTATAATGCTGCTTACTGAATTTAATCCTTGAAGAGATCTTAACTATGTCCTTTTTCCATTTGCAGAACAGAGTTGATTCTGTTCCCAGAAGTATGGAGAAACCAAGAACATTGGATGACATTTCTGATAAGACCAAGCCACAGTTGACTGAAATTCTAGATAAAGTTCAATGCAGGATTATTACCATGCCGGAGAGCCCAGAATCCCGTAACAAGGTGCCTCAACTAATTCCCCTGCAACTCCTCCTCAGTGTGACTCACTTGACTGGATGCTTTAACTGCTTTCTTTATTATAGGTTGCAAGGCTTCTTTATACCAATTCTGGTGTTGGCATCCTGGCACTTGGATCAAATGGTATTCAGAAATTATGGAAGTGGGCACGCAATGAACAAAATCCAAGTGGGAAGGTACTAAAGGTTATCTGAAAATTCTTAGGTTTGATTAGTTTCAAAGTGTTTATGAATAATTTTCTGAAATTTGTGGGGTCTTAAGGCCACTGCTAATGTTATTCCACAACATTGGCAACCAAACAGTGGTCTTCTTATGACTAATGATGTCTCAGGTGTTAATCTTGAAGAGGCAGTTCCTTGCATAGCCCTCTCAAAGAATGACTCTTATGTAATGTCAGCTGCTGGTGGAAAAGTTTCATTGTTCAACATGATGACATTTAAGGTAGGTGGAAAAAGGTAGTTCTCTTCATATTAATATTTCATTAGTGGTTTGGTATGTCATTGTGATATCAACGCAGGTAATGACAACTTTCATGTCGCCTCCACCTGCCTCAACTTTCTTAGCATTCCATCCTCAAGATAACAACATTATTGCCATCGGTATGGAGGATTCCACAATCAATATATACAATGTTAGGGTGGATGAGGTAAACTTTTTCCATCATTTTAAATATTTCTCGACATCTATGTGTTGCTTAGATAACCCGTTTTTGATGTTATGGAATACACCACAGGTAAAATCTAAACTGAAGGGCCATCAAAAGCGCATAACTGGTCTTGCATTCTCCACCAACCTCAACGTATTGGTCTCATCAGGAGCTGATGCGCATGTGAGACTCAGTTTTCTTCCATTCAACTTTTTGCTTTAATGCCTTGTTTTTTTCCTTCATCTACCCTTGTTTTTTTCCTTCATCTACCCATTGAAGGATGGATGAACAAGTAGAGCACCAAGCTTTTTTTATTCAGTGCGGCATGTTCATTAGAAATCTCATAATCAATGTGTCCTGGATGGGAAATTGATTTTGGCTACTATTCTGTCCGTTTTAATTGTCCTACTTGTTGTTTTGGATTGTCCCCAAATTATGTTCACTTACATTAGAGGAAAAGCGTTTCCCCTTCTTTTTTTATAGATGCCTTTTCAATATCATACAATAAAAGGTGTTATGGTTCCACCTTTATATTAAAAAAGGTTTAAGTTCTTTAAAACTTAATGTTATCACCATTTTTGGACTGACCTTTAACAATGAGTTTCAACTATTATCTTAATGACCTTGCTCGGATAAAAACTGACACTTTTGGCCTTCCTCCTATGTGAAGCATGCAGAATGAGCTGATGTATGGCCTATAGCCTGGAGTTACATACAGCTACCTATTCTGTTCCGTGTTTACTATCTGTTTTTTTTGTGGTCCAGTACAGAAATCTAGTAGTGCATTGAGTACTAATATGAAACAATCTATTGCAGCTATGTACATGGAGCATTGATACATGGGAAAAGAGAAAATCAGTTCCCATTCAGCTGCCTGCTGGTAAAGCATCTGCTGGTGACACTCGTGTACAATTTCACTCGGACCAAGTCCGCTTGCTAGTATCCCATGAAACCCAATTAGGAATTTATGATGCCTCTAAGATGGAAAGAATACGCCAGGTAAACCAGATGCCAAATACCATGGAGTGTAGACAACTGTAAGTGTTTTCTCACAGATTCTGTTTGTTGCAGTGGGTTCCACAAGATGCTCTTCCGGCGCCCATATCACATGCTGTGTACTCTTGCAACAGTCAACTAGTTTATGCTTCCTTTTGTGATGGTAACATTGGTGTGTTTGATGCTGATAGCCTTAGGCTAAAATGTCGTATTGCTCCCTCCGCATATTTGTCTCAGGCAGTGTTGAATGGGTAAGAGCACACCTATTCGTCCAGAATATCTTGTGAATTGGACTTGAGCATTTGCATAGAGTGACTGGAATTTGTCTGGTTTTAGTTCCAAAAATCCAAAATTTTATCGCCTTTATTGGATCAGCAATGCTTTTTGAATTCCTTCTAATCAATAGGGGAAAAGACAAGAGAGAGAGAGAGGAGGGAGGGAGGGAGGGAGGGAGGGAGGGAGAGCTATATTAGGTTAATTCCTTATATGCTTCTTTTTGTGTTTGAGGTACGGACACATAATGTAAGTCTCTTCGGCGAGTGATTACTTGGTCCATGATTGCATTAATGCCTCTTACCTCCTTTGGCAAGAACCTTCATCATTTCCAAGTAGTGTTACAACTTTGTTCCGTATCACTTGCTCATGTTGTTTCATCATTGCCATTTTCTAGATGTTGCTAAAACATGTTACACTACCTTCTTGCAGTGCGCAATATGTGCGATAGTCGATCTTACGTTCCTCGTTATCAGTAATGTATTTAATTTGGTGCTAAAAAGAGTCTTGGCTAACCCTATTTGTTGTGTGCTTCAGAAGCCAAGCAGTGTACCCGCTGGTCATCGCAGCACATCCCCAGGAGCCAAACCAAATTGCAGTTGGGTTGTCAGATGGGATTGTTAAAGTGATTGAACCTTTGGAATCTGAAGGGAAATGGGGAGAAACTCCACCTGTTGATAATGGGATGTTGAATGGTAGGACAACAGCAGCCTCATCAACCACTACCAACCATGTTGCTGAACAAGTTCAAAGATGAAACATATAGGAGTACTATATTTTTGTAACTGACATTCTTTCTCTGTATCTTATCCCTATAGGTTAGGTTGTAGAGAATATAGGTTGTAGTTCATTCTCTGTTGTATCCTTTTATCAAAGATAAATGCACCTCTCGGAGATATGTATATATCTTTATTAACATTAACTTTTTCTTTAAAATATCAGAAAATACTCTATTTCGCGATTTACTTGGTGAAAAGATAAAATTTCATCTAATGTTTCTTTACTGAGGATGTTTGAACGCTAGGTCGTGAAGAGAATAAGAACTAGCCGAGTGCAGGCGTTTCAGTATTGTCTTTTAAAATAATTAGGAGAAGGAAGTAAGTGCCGTGCGTGGCTGAACCTTTCCAAAATTTCAAGTATTTAATTAATTTTCCAATTATACATCTATCTTCTATATAGAATAGGAAAAGCAAATCAATGTGATGATGCCAAGTGTACAACAAAACTTTAACAAGTGTCAAATTTTAGGACAGTTAGTATTTATTTTTAAATCAAATATACCACTAGGTTGGTTGCCTAGTGGTGTTTTTATTAATAATCAAAATAAAACACAATGAGTCTGGAGGTCTCACAAAATGAAAGTGCGTAAAAAATAAAAGTACATGAAGCCTAATATTAGAGTCATATGTAAAACACTCATTTGATAGTACAAAAAGAACTAAGAACCATGATCCTTTGGGAAGGCCTATTTGCACATGACTCGCAAAAAATTCTTAAATAGCTGTCTCTCATTGCTTTCGATTGTGGGCATTTGCACTTATTATCTTGGGCTTAGGCAGCTCCACCTGATCTCTTTGAAAGAAATATAAGCTTGAGAAAGATTGTTTTGTAAACCAATTGCACGCAAATCTTCCAAAATGCAAGTCCAGGTCAAGACGGTAATGGTGTTGTTGCGACTTTGACTCCTTGTTACACGTTCATGCCTGATCATTCTTGTTGTGATCCTGCTGTTGGTAGCTTCCTCATGTATGGTTGATATCCATTGTAGCTGGTAGCTCCTCCACATATTGCTAAAATGATCCGCATAAAGCGGAGAAGTCCCATGGATCGTCATATCTGATCTGTGCAGAAGAAAGTAGTTGCGCATGTAACTGATCATTAGGACTTGATATGCTCTGCTGGTATTACCTTGTGTGATCCTCAGGGAGTGGTATATGCAAAGGAATTTGCATTTTATAGTATAATCTTCCCCGTTTCCATCATCATGGGCCCAAAAGTTAAGGCTAATGTGTAGCCTTCTTTTTGCCTTAATAAGTGTACTTTTGGGCTGGCCTAAGTAGTGGTTGCACCTATAGGGTATGCGTATCAAAGATACTAATACCATTCTAATAGGTTTGGCCAAAACATAAAGCCAATCCCCCTTCAAAGTGCCTGCAAAATCAGAAAACATGTTAGAGAAAAAAACCTTCCTTCTCTCCTCCCTAAGGATTTGAGTTGGAAGTGTAATGTGATCTCCATCCCCTATGGTATGTCTCATTCTTCCATGATACATTCTCCTCCTCTTCTTATCTACAAGATACTCCCCTTTACTCTTCATCTTATCTTCCAACTCCATCATCAATTAGCATTTGGCTTGGCAGTTCTTACCCTTATGTAGGGTATTTGAAGCTTGTCATTATTCAATATCCTTCTCCCTTGTGTATCCAATTCCCAAAAGGAATGCACCTGTACAATGTGCTGCTGATCCAGTGTCAAATTAACTAAATGCTCTGCTAACTTGTTACCTTCCCTCAATACATGAAATACTTGAAAGGCACCCTTAGACAGTAGTGTTTTAATTTCATCCACTTGATTAGCAATGCTCCAAGATGTTTCCCAAACTTCATCTAGTACTCTCTTCATAAGTAAATAATCTGTTTCAATTATGCATGGAGGAAATTGCATTTGAGTTATGTACTTAGAGCCTCCAGAATGGCCTGTGCCTCAGCTACATTATTAGTTGCATCCTCAACTGCATCTGCCTGTGCATAAATTATATTTCATATTCCATCCCTTATGCAGAAGCCATATGATGCTCCTCCATTGACACCTCTACATAACCTATCTATATTGAATTTTATCCACCCCACAGGAAGTAACTCCCACAAAACCTTAGTATACCTCAATTTAGGAACATGTTGTGATAGTTTCTCATGCAAGTCTGGCCAGTTTGTAGTAACACCCTTAAAGCCTGCTCTTCTCACCTTTAATAGCATTTGGATTGAGTTTGAGATTTGAAAGATCAATCTATTTATAGACACACTCTTCCCATGCATTTCAGAATTTCTCTTCTTCCACAGGTGCCAAACAATCAAACTTGGCATAGCTTGATATACTGCCTTCAAGCTTGTGTTAACAGGTTTGCTCCACCAATCATTATCACTTGCACAAGTTGCTTCCCATCTGTCCTAATCCCTGCAGGTGCACCATAAAAATTCCAAACCTATCGTGCAGCTGGTGATGTTAGAAACACATAAGGCAATGTTTCTTCTTTAGGATTCCTACAGCACCAACACCTTGATGTTATGAAATATCCCATCCTTAGAAACCAATCATCCAATGGTAACTTTGCCTTCCATAGTCTCCACATGAAGAAACTTATCTTGAAAGGTAGCCCCTTTACCCAAAAGAATTTGTATAGCTTGCTTTCTTCTCTTTTCTTCCTTATATATTGCCAGGCAGACTTCACTGTAAAATTTCCAGCTTCCACCAAGGCTTATCTTTCATTGAAATATCTGAAGGTGATGTGACTGTCTCCAGAATATGGTCAGCTAGCTCATCAGGCAATAATTCCCTTAGTAGCACTTCATTTCATGCCCCATTTTCAACCACTTCATCAATATGATTTATAGATTCATCACACCAATGATCTGGACCTGAAGCATGGTAAAGTGCTCCAAGTTCAGTCTAATTGTCATACCATAAATAGGAGTTGCCATTCTTCAATTGCCATCACACTTGATGCTCCACCTCATCTCTCATTTGCAACATTTTTCTCCATATATGAGATCCTTGTCTCCAAGGTACTAACTCATTGATCTTTTTGCAGTACTTATTTCTCATAAATGTAGACCACAATGAGTCTTTTGTTCTATAGTTCTACCAAAGCTTGGCAAACAAAGACTTCGACACATCATGTAAGGATCTGAAACCCATACCTCCCTCCTTTTTAGGAAGACATAAGTTGTCCCATGAAGCCCAATGTCTTGCTCTTCGATTGCCTGAATTTCTCCAGTAAAATCTAGCAAACATCTTGTGCAATTGGTTGATCACATATGCTGGTGGATTCACAGCTAACAAAAGATGAATTGGCATACTTTCCAACACATGTGAGATCCGAACTGCTCGACCACCAATTGATAGTAACTTACCATTCCATGATGATAACCTCTCCTGTACTTTGAAGGTCATATTCTTATAAAAGTCTTTCCTCCTCCTACTGTAGAATATAGGATAGCCCAAGAGGTAAATAGGAATGAGTGTCTTTGGAATTCAGTAATCAAGTGGACAATGTTTACTTAATCTGCTTGGGCTCCTTCATGCATATAAAAGGAAGAATTTTCCTTATTGATATTCTGACCTGAAGCTGTCTCATATTCCTCTAAAACGTTCATGTGCAGTACCCCATAGTGAGAGGAACAGAAGATAATAGTATCATCAGCATAGGAAAGGTAGTTAACGTTTTGACTCCATTTTGGCATGCCAAAGCCTATGAAATCTGGATTGTCAAAAAATGCATCTAAAGCTCTCCCAAGCACTTTAGCAGCTAGAATAAACAATGTAAGAGAAAGTGGTTCCCCTTATTTAACACCTCTAGATGATTTGAAGAAACCATTGGCCTGCCCATTAAGAAGCACTGAGTACCAGTTGTTGGAGACTAGTCTGAATATCATATCAACGAATATCTCACCAAATCCCATTTGCCTCAGTACTTTTGTCAAGAATAGCCATGAGACTCTATCATAAGCTTTTGCCGTGTTCAATTTGATTACTATATTAGATGGCTTCCCTTTCAATCTAATGTCTTTGATGATCTCTTGAGTTAACAAGATATTCTCCATAATGCTTCTTCCCTCGACAAAACCTGCTTGATATGGAGAAATTAAAGAAGGCAGAAGCTCAACTAACCTTTCATGGATCACTCTAGATATGATCTTGTTGGAGAAATTGTTCAAACTCATTGGCCTCATGTATGAAAATGTAGCAACATTCTTCTTCTTTGGAAGCAACACAAGGTTTGTGTGAGTAATGAACTTTGGTAGTTCTGCACCACAAAAGAAGGCTCTAACCATATTGAGCACATCATCGCATACAACCTCCCAACTAGCTTGATAGAACTGGCCAGCGAATCCATATGGACCACTTGCACTATCCCTATCCAATCCAAAAACTCCTGCCTTAACCTCCTCTATAGTTGGTTCCTCCCACAACTTTGCATTCTGATCCTAAGACACCATCCTAGGAACATGCTGTATAATATCAAAGTTAGTGGGAATTCTTTCTTCTGTGAACTGAGCCTGGAAAAACTCTACTGCCTCCCTTGCCATATCTTCTTGTGATTCAAGCCAATTGTCATTTTTGTCCAAGATTCTGGACACCTGCAGCCTTTTCCTCTTGCCTCTCACATAAGCATGAAAGAACTTAGTGTTCCTATCACCATCCTTAAACCACTGCAATCCACCATTTTGTCTCCAAAATTCTTCTTCAAGATGGTAATACCTTGTAAGGTCAGCTTCTACTTTGTGTAGCTTGGCTCTATTCCGAGCTGTTGGATTCAATTCAAACTCAATCTCATGTACCTTAATAACATCCTCCAATGCTGCAATTTGTTTGAAAATATCTCCAAATGTCTCCTTGGTTCAAGCTCCCAATGTAGTCTTCACCTTTTTCAGCTTACTTTGGAATGAAATGAATGGGTTCCCCATGGAATCAGCTACCCAATTCTCCTTCACCACCTTCAGAAAAGATTCATGCTTGATCTAGAAGTTTATAAACTTAAATGGTTTCTTAACTTGGATAGTGTCAATGTTGCAAGACAACAAGAAAGGGTCATGATTAGAACCATACTTGATCAAGTGTTCAACCTCCAATGCTGTGAATAAATCTAAGAACTGTTTATTTGCAAAGAACCTATCAAGCCTCTTGAAGATGGAATCAATGTCAGACCTCCCATTCCACCAAGTATACAAGCTCCCTTTGAAGTT